GCACATTTTGGATTTGAGCTCTTCGAACGCTCGGTGTTGGTTTTCTCCCCAGTGCCAGTCGGTGGTTTTCTTTGTGAGGTCTAGTAACGGACAGGCAATCTTTGAGTAGTTCGGGACGAAGTATCGGTAGTAGCCGGTGAACCCCAGGAATTGTCGTACTTCGGTCGGGGTGCGGGGCACTGACCAATTCGCAACCCCTTTAAGCTTTGTGGGGTCCATGCGTATTTTATTCTTTCCGACAATTACTCCTAGGTAGTCGATTTCGTCTTTTGCGAAGTCGCATTTCTCCGGTTTTAAGTATAGGTCGTTCTTTTCAAGTTTGTCAAGAACGAGGTGTGTATAGTTTGTGTGCCTTTGTCGGTGTTGTTCCTCGGTTTTGCCTTCCTTTGGTTTGGTGTGGATGGCGATGTCGTCCATGTATACCGATAGCCATCCTTGTGCGACCTCTCTTCGGAAGATAGTGTTCATCATCATCTGGAAGGTGGCCGGTGAGTTAGTGAGACCGAAGAACATAACGGTTGGCTCGAACAGTCCTTCACTAGTGAGGAAGGCTGCTTTCCATTTGTCCCCTTCTTTGATGCAGATATTGTTGTACCCCCATCTTACGTTGAACTTGGTAAACAGGGTGCACCCGCTAAGGTGATCGATGGTCTGGGGAATCAGCGGGGAGACGTTCCTGTTTTTCACTGTCCATTTGTTGATTGGGTGGTAGTCCTGCACTGGGCGTAACTTCTTATCTTTCTTTTTGACAAAGAAGAAGTTAGCTGCATAGGGGCTCCACGACTCTCGTATGGTCCCTCTTTTTAGATGTTCGGCTACAAATTTGTGCATTTCTTCTCGTTCGGCCTGGTTGAGGGGGAGGAGTCTTGCAGGGAGTGTGGCGGGGGCATCGGGCAGTAGTTCAATGGCATGGTCCCATATGGTGTGTTTGGGCAATCGTTGCGATTGTTCTTCGCTGAACACCTTTTTATGGTGTTTGTATTCAGCTGGGATGGCGTGTAGTGGGCTTTCGTTCGGTTGGGCAGGGTGTATTGTGATGCGTCCGATGTAGTACTGGTCCTGGTTGGGTTTCCGGGGGGTTTTTCGGTTCCTTGATACGAAGATGGCTTTCTTAGCGTTGTGGGCTCGTAGGATAATTGGTAGCTGGGTGTGGTCGATCCAGCCTTTCTTCCAGTCTATTTTGGGCTGGGTCACGGTGAACCACGAGTATCCTAGGATTGCTTTGTGGTCGCCTAGGCCAGAGAGGAAGAACCTCAGCTGGGTTCGTGCGAATCCAGTTTGTACCTGTAGGTCGGTATAGAATTTGACCTTGCCGTTTCGGTTCTCCGTTCCGTCGACGTTGAACAGCTTCCGCGGTCTTGCTAGTTGCTTGATTGGCAACCTCAGCCATCTGGTGTAGGTGAGGTTCATGAAGTTTTCCGTCGCCCCGGAGTCAACTAGGGCGATCGTTTCGGCTCTTTTCGTGATAGAATGGATGTAACATCGGACTGTCATTTATTTTTGTGCTGATATATATACATCGCTATTGCTATCGCCTCCCTGCTTAATCAGTGCCGACCTGATTAAGCTGTGGGAAAATCCTGTGGACTTTCCTCTCCTACTTCCTTCGCTAGCTGTTGTTTTTCGTCAAAGGTCATCGCGTTGATTTCTGCTTTGAGAAAGGCAACCCTGTCTACTTTGGGGGTGCTCTCCTCATAGACGGTTTCTTTGTTTGGGTCGAAGTTGATGAGGTTTGCCCTCGCCTTTCCTTTGCTTGGGCAGGCTTGGGCAAAGTGTCCTATCTCTCCACAGTTGAAGCAGGCGTTGCTGGTGTTTCTAGGAGGGAAGTTAGCGACGTTGGCCCTGGAGCGCCAGTTGTTTCACCCTCGTCCTTGCGACTGTCCTCCCCTTTGTTGGTTGAAATTGGGAGCTCTCGACCTGCTGAGGTCCATCGGTACGGCTTGGTTATTCATCCACCTTGGGGCATTTGATGAGTGATACGGCTGTCGGTACGTCTGCGGGTTTACTGGCTTTTGGAAGAAGGAGGGACATCGTTGTCCCCTGTTTTGTTGGAAGGGGAGGTTTAGCCCGTTGTTCGCCCTTCCTGGGTCGGATCGTGCGGCGAGTAGGTCAGTTATGGTCCTCTGGGCGACGATACTGTCTATGGCTCTTTGTCTGATGGTGTCGTATCCTCGTACTGGTGGGCTGGCCATGACGACCTTCATCATTTTGGGCGTGAGACCGAGTAAGAAGAATCAGGTGGTTGCGGCATCTTCGGCAGTGTAGCCAGCCTTTCGGGCCAGCTCTTCGAATTTGGATATGTACATATCTATCTCACCCAGTTTCATGGTCAGGTTTTGCAGGGTAGTGCGAGCTCGGTCTTCCTTAGCCGAGTCGAGGTATTAGGCCTCGAATTCTGTCAGGAATTGTTCCCATAATAGGGGGATGTTGTCGGCGACGGGGTCTAATCTGTCAAGCATTGTTCCCATACTCCGGACCCATCCGGTGACGTCTTCCCCTTTCATGTGGGTGACGGTGAAGGCGATTTTCTTCATGGGGGAGTTGAACCCACTTACATCCACATTGAGGCGCAGGTATCCTTTTACTTCTTCAATGAAGTTGTCGGCCTTGGTCCTGTCACCATTGAACGTTTCCGGGAGTTTACCCATTGCTCGCACATCTTGTGCTACGGCCACTGGTTGGAGTGGGTTTGGTCCCGCTCCTCCACCGCCTCCACCGCCACCGCCCCCTCCGCCACCTCCTCCTGGCGGAGGGGCGTGTTGGAGGGCTTTTTGGAAGGCTTGGGTAACATTGGCTTGGGCGGCGGTCGTTGGGGCAGTAGCAGTTTGGGTGGTGGTTTGTGTGGACATCGTGGTCATTTTCTGGGGTTGGGTTAAGGTGGTTTGCACGGTTTGGGGTTTTTGCTTTGTCGCTACTACTTGTGCGAAGGATGTGTTGCTTTGGATCAGGCTGCGATGGATTTGTTCGTCTATTTGATTGTCCTCTTCGTCTGAGGAGTCCCTGCTTGGTTGTTCTCTGATCGGTTCTTTCTCCTTGCTTGGTTCTTCTACGACAATGCTTGGAGTGGTTGCGTCACTAGTTTCGATGCTGACGTCGAAGTGGTGTATACTAAGCTCGGGTTGTCCGAGCACAAAGTCCTTCTTGGTCGCCCCTGGTAGGATGCGGTGCCAGACTCCGTTGTGTAGGGTGACTGGTCCAGTGTCTTTGATATCGAGGTTGCTGCTTTTGCAGAATAGTTGGAATGCCTTTCCCCTCTTGTTGGCTGACTCGTACGCTTCGAGCCTTCTGATCCTCGAGTTAGGTCTTGTGACAAGTAGTTCTTCCTTCGTCAGGTGTTCTGGGTGGTTGGTGTCTACGCTGCCTCTGCTGCTGCTAGCCGTAGTTTTTATAAAGTTGAGTCTAATGTCACCGCCGGTATGGACGAGACTATTAGAGCTCAGTGGTGGTAGTAATGTTGCTCTCCTCTTGTGCCTTCGGCGTGTCAAAGCACATGCAGCGTCCTCCCTTATGGACTAGCTCTGGGAATACCTCCTGACAAAAGGCGTACTTGGGTAGAGTGACTGTGTCTTTGTTGGGACGCTGAGTCATAAGCTAAGTCCTCTGCAACTTAGGTTGCTTTAGAGTAATGGGTTCCCGCCCTATCGGTTCGTTGATAGGACCCCGCTTTGAATAGGAGGAGAAGAGACTTCTGGTATTCAGACAGGAGACTCAACTTGCCGCTTATTGGCCAAGTTGGTTGTCCTTAAGTATCCTAAGGAGACTACAAACACAAACAGACTATCAAGCCACCAATACAAGGGACACAGCTATCAAAAACAACACGATGCTGGTCACCAGTCCATCCACATCACAACGAAGTGCTACACGCATCAATGACAGTTGATCTGATCAATCCATACAGTACTAGCCCAGTTCAGGAACTTACCCCGGTCCACAAGGCGTACAAGCTACTGTAGCCCCGTCCCAGGAGCCAGTTACACATCGCCTTATGTCCCCCAGTCACCGTTTGCAGGTGCGACATTGCCGTTCAACATCCAGCACTTCAAGTTCCCCATATGTCACATCCCCATTCAAGTTTTACGATCGTGGTCGTGCTCCCACCTCCTCGACATACTCTCCAATGTCTTGGGCCCTTAATTTATCATCACTTGGATATTCACCGACTAGCCCGCGCCGACATCACCGTCATTCTCACCAACATTTATATCACACGGCGCGCGTACAACTATGCACAGAAACGGACATGTATACTACATATTATCTTTAGAAATATATCTTTGTTATCGCTCAGCTATCTCATGATTAGGTGGAGTGTGATTGTACTGCGCGGTGGGCACTGGTTTATTGACTCTAATAAAGAACATGTGGTATCTATTATCTAAAGAGTGGGTAAAGTCACTAGGCGCTTTCTGGCCTGGCCGGGACACGGGGCGAGGGAGCCTGCCAGCCGCGTGGGTGGGCAGGAGCAACTCCGTGGGGCTGCAGGCTTCTCGGCGTGTCCAGACTGTGCCTACGAATGTATACTGTGTAAGTGTAATGGTGCAATGCTGCTGCGAGTTGGCAAAAGCCGGAGCAATTTGGTTGGGAGCTGGAGTGTGGTGAGCTCCAGTGTGCTTGTGAGAGTTCTGCAGGAGTGGTGGGCGGGTGAAAAGGAAACGAGTGAGCGAGGCAGCAGGGACGAGCACTGTTTTGGTCTCCAACTTGAAAGTGACTCTGACTGGGCCTTTGGAGAGATCTACATATAATTAGTACAACGAGTACAGTACAGTGCTTTTGTGGCCACGAATAATGCGTCACGCTGGTGACCACTCACCCAGCCCATCACTGCCCGACACACTGTACTGACCACGCAGTCAATGCGCAAGTCAATGTGTCGACTCTTTCTTTTTCATATCTTCGCTCCAACAGCTCACTTTCCTTCTGTTGGATGTGCAATCTGTCCACGTGGCATGTACGTCACAAGAAGTGGATATATAGATGTGCACCAGTTAGTCCCCCAAGGCCAGGTAGCTCAGTGGAAGAGCACCTGGGATTATGCCAGGAGGCCTGGGTTCGAACCCCAGTCCGGCCATCATTTGCTGCAACACCTTCTCTCAAACTTAAGATAGTTTTTAAGCACGCTAGGATTCCTTCAATCTGGTCAACTGAGTCAAGTCTCAACCTTGCCCCAGTAATCTTCCACACCCCCAGCCCGGCCTGCGCTTTCACAACACACAACATTCATCTTCACACTCCTCTCGCACATTGCTCGTGCCGTGCCCGCAACACCCCAGGAGCTGTACAACATCACCCTTCCTTCCCACCCAAGTCATGTGGGATGCCACCTACGACAACCTGAATGGCAACACCGACCGTGTTCAAGTTGCGTGCTCAAAGCCTCAAACACATTCAACACCAAACGTGTAACTGGCTCCTGGGACGAGGCTAGCTTGTACGCCTCGTGGACCGGGGTAAGTTCCTGAACCGGGCTAGTACTGTATGGATTGATCGGATCAACTGTCATTGATGCGTGTAGCACCTCGTTGTGATGTGGATGGACTGGTGACCAGCATCGTGTTGTTTGGATAGCTGTGTCCCTTGTATTGGTGGCTTGATAGTCTGTACATGTTTGTAGTCTCCTTAGGATATTTAAGGATGACCAACTTGGCCTGATAGCGGCAAGTTGAGTCTCCTGTCTATACAACAGAAGTCTCTTCTCTTCCCCTTCGAAGCAAGGCCTTATCGATGAACAGATAGGGCAGGAACTTGCTACTCAAAAGCACTCTAAGTCGCAAAGGACTTAGCTTATGACTCAGCGTCCCGCTAAGGACACAGTCGCTCTGCCCAAGTATGCCTTCTGCCAGGAGGTATTCCCAGACTTAGTCCACAAAGGAGGACGCTGCACGTGCTTCGACACACCGAAGCTCAAGGACGAGAGTACAACAACCACCACCACTGAGCTCTAATAGTCTCGTCCATACCGGCGGTGACAAAACAGGCCCAACTGCGGCAAGTGCTGGAAGCTGACCGACATGAAGATGGGTGGGTGAACCTATTTCACCGCCATCGACGGCACCGGGATCGTTTCAACATTGGAAAGCGCCGATGAAAGTGTGGGGAGCGGCACATTGAAAGTGGAGGCCATACAGTAGTAGTTCCTGGCTGTCTTCCCTGTATACATTACTACTTCCACCCCTGTATGTTGCTTTATACATTGGAACACAATAGAGTATATGTTATCAACATTCAGAGTACTTGAGTGAAGAACTGTAGGAGGCATGTACTATGGGTACATGAATGGGTTGACCGGTCTGAACTGGCTGAAAGACCGACTTTAATCGGTCTTAACCAGTTCTCAAATTAACTGGTTAAGACCAGTTAATTAACCGTAACTGAACCGAAATGGACCAGTCCTACCCAGTTCAGTTAGGTCATATGAGATTTTCGCTTAGGTTTAAACCGGTCACAGTCTCGGTTAACCCAAAATTGGGGTTAAAACCCTAACTGGACCAGACCTTAAAACTCTACTTTGGATCGATGAACGTGAGAGACAGGTCCATACTCATGTAGAGCCCTGGACATTGTTTGGCAAGAGACATGAGGGAAGGCCTTTTTAACAAGCTCAGTGCAGTTGGCAGCCTCAGTACAAGCGAACATAATGGCAGCATGGCAGGCATCATGCTCTTGGAGCTTTCGAGGGTGACCAGGCTTGGATCTCCGGTAGTAAACATTACCAGATTCCTTGAAACGAGTGATGAGACGAGGGATGGTGGTGCGATGGAGGTTGAACCGACGCGCAATCTCATGATCAGATTGACCGAGGTTCTTGAGCTCGACTATCTGAGCGACCTTGCTTGGGGAGGTGTAGACCATAGTATAAAGAGCAACAGTGAGTTAAACTGAATTTTCAAGGACTTTCCAGCCAGTATTTATTCCTAGAGCCTCATGCAGGCCTCATGTTCAAAAGTACCGCACACACATTTTTAGTAATCCAATAGCGTACATTTCAAAACTGCATCCTTTACCTATTAATGACTGAATATATATCTTTTACGTCTGAAGACACAATGTACAACTATTCATTCTGTCCCAACCTTGATGTCTGAAAAACACAATGCTATTCATTTGAAAATATGTGGCTGTGTAGTACTTTTGAGCACCACTGTATGTGATCAAATATGAAGGCATACTAGAGCCATGCCATTGCGACTAAAGCTGATTGTCGCTGTCCAAAGTTTGAAAGGAAGGGAAAGGAGTTGAGGAGAGGGGCGTGGAATGAGAGGCCATGAGGGACAGAAGGTCTTAGACTTGCTCACAGTCGTCTTGCACCAGAGGTTGACTTGGAGGAGGAAGGCGATGATTGTGAAGCAAAGGGAAAGGTGAGGTGATAAGGTGATGAGGTGAGGCGATGAAGGTGGAATGATGATGTACAAATGTGGAAACTGTATAGTTGTGGCTTGTTATGGCTTACGTGTTGTCACAGTTGTTTCGCCCCAGCCCAAGTGTGCCCTCTGGCGAACGGGCGCTCCTCCCTTTGGTGGCCATCCTTTGGAAAATTTGGGTGAAAGCCTTGGCCCAGGCCATTGACTTTGGCTTTCAGAAATCTCAAGCCAGGCTAAAGCTCCCACTGAGCCCCCACATTGGCTTGGCTTGGCTTGGCCTAAATAGAGCTTGGCTTTGGCTTGAAGCCATGCCAGGCAAAACCCTACCCTTAAGGGGACCAATGCATGAGAAAAGATGTTGAAGGGCATCCATGATGAGTTGGATGGTGTCGACATTGCCAAGCCAGAACTGGACATGGGCATTGACACGCGCAAAGATATACCACCGTCTGCCCATTATTTGCTCTACGCCAACCACATGTATTCTCCGTACACTATACCCAGCACATAACTACTATGCATAGGATAGATTTAGTAACTTAGTTCAAGTCATCTAAAATAAATCCATCCTCATCAAGAAGCTCCTTGTCCCACTCCGCCGATGTCTCATTCGCTTCCAAAAATTCCAAAAATTCTTTTAATTGAACCTCTTCAATCTGTGTCCAGTTCTGTTCTGCGTTATCAACAATCTTCTTGCGCCATGCAAACTTCATGATTTGAAGCTCCTCAAAATGTTTTGCACCAAGGGACGATCAACAAAGATCCGCAGTCTGCTTACTTGCAGAGAAGAGACACTCACACAGCACTGACGACACCTGGGATAAAAGAACGTCAAGGGCTATCCATGCAAGGGTTGGGAACACCACGGTGTGCTCCTGCCACCAATGGATGATGTCAGTGTCCTTGGTTACATCGCCCGGTGTCACGATCAGGTGGTTGTTATCAAGACTAAGTTGTTCGTTCTTCAAGTAGATAGCTTTCTCTTGCACGCGAGAAAGATCAGCGATAAGATGAGAAAGGGGAATGAGCCAACTTTTCGTTGAAACCTCCCTTAGAGTGTCTGTCTGGGTTCGTGAAGCCACAGTCCTGTATTGAACAGAAGAAATCAAGCTTAGGGCTTGGTCTCTCAACGAGTCGTATCCTATATACAAGTAACTAGGAAGGTTCTGGAAGGGTCTAGGCCTTACTGGTGTCATATGGAACCTTCTACAATGAACTGGAGTCTAGTCTTTCGATCAATTGTTCATACGTCAGTATGTATATGGTATAAGAACGTAAGTGTAAAAGGGGCAGAGAGTAGGTGAATGTAATGTGAAAGAACAAACAGGTAGGGGCTAGGCCCTTCGTCCCATGACACCTGGCCTATCATTCAGATAATGTCTCAATTTTGAAGACCAACCTTCCCCATCATCCCTTTGCAGAAGGGACTGGCAGTAGCGATCATATTCTGATCCCAGCACCTTCTCTGGGACACATTCCCCATCTGCATTGACTTGGGTGGGAGGTGGTTGGGCAGGCTTGGCTCTTGGTTGCTTTTTGTAATATATCTCCATCTATTTATTTTTTCATGTGAGATGAGGAACCTGAGTGAATTGAGACTCACTGTCTTCTCTACAATCTTGAGTGCCTCGTCTTGCCAGTTTTTGGCAAACACATTTCCTTCCAGATGTTCAAGTTCCTGTTCCTCAGCTCAGCTCCACCCCAGGATAGTTTGATGTAGTTGAGTTTGTAGTATGGGTGGAGAACTATAATTAAAGACATAAATAGAGAGTACTCAAAGGAAACAAAGAAACATACTGAGAGCAAGGATGAACACAGGCTTGGCGTCAATTTGTGGATAGTACTTTTGAAGCTTTGATAATCCACTGTCAATGGCATCCCTGTACAAGGTGAAGTGTTCTAGCTTCCACTTATCTTCCCAAGCAGTCTGCAACTCCTTGAGTGCAGGCAGTGCACGCCACAATGTCTGCTGCTGTTCAGATGAAAATAGTTCTTGAATATTGTTTGAATCCTGTCATTGCATTGTCAGTAATTAATAGGGTACTAAAATAAATGAGACTCACCTTTAAGATGTCTCTTGAGTCGGCTATGCACACCCAATCCCCTTCTGTGAGGGCAAATGCTGACCATGGGATCTTCTTTTCCACATAATTCGGCAACAAGTATACGATGTAGTCATAAAACCCCGCATGCAATCTTGTCTCTGTTATCGTGAAAGCCCACATGGGCCAACCTAATGAAAGCTGACGCTGTTTACGAGTGGGCCCACCTGCTGGTCACCTATATAGGGTCAATAAAATAGCTACACAAATGTTGTAATAGGCTTAGTATTGCTGCTACTATCGCAATGGAAACATACTAATATTCCAAAACATTACTATAATAAACAAAGTGTCTAATGCCTTGAAATGGCCGGGCATTTCATTGGGAGACGCAGTCAATGGCCTCAAAATGGCCCAGCATCACTCGAAACGGGTGTCACTGATAGCGTCGAATTGGCCCGCCTCATCCCAAATGAGATGCTGCCGATGGCATCAGGTTGGCCCACTGCCAGATACTGCCGATAACCTCACAGTGGCCCAGAGTTGCTCTGAAACGGTGCTACCGATTGCTTCGAGCTGGCCCGCCTCCCCCCCAATGAGATGCTGCCGATGGCATCACGTTGGCCTCTCACAGGATGCTGCTGATAGCCTCCTGATGGCCTGAATCG